TATAATTATTATATAATAATAATGATTTTTATATAATAGTATTATATAATTTCCCCTTACCTATGTATTCTTGGTTATGACAGTAGTCTGAAAACTATTATTTGGTATTCAGAAAAATTCACACCAATAAAACGTGCACAATAAGACCAGGGAAATGTAGCTATTTTAATTTTATTTAATTTCAGAAAGTTAATATTGAAATTAAATTATCACTGCTAAACATTAAATAAACCCAGATAACGCACCTAAAAGCATGTTGCTGACATTGCAAAAACATCAGTTGTGAGTTCTGCCAATACCCCAAACCATAAAATCTGTAGGCAACACAGTTTTGTAGGAATGTGTAGCAGAATGGAGAAGCCCTCGGCCCACTCTCTGATTTGCCCCAGATGTGCACGACCATGAAGAGCTCGTGGGGGGATCTGTCCAAGCCTCGCAATATCCTCTCTACTCCCACAGTGCACCTTTGTGTTCATGGGCTTTCCCCTTATGGGGCCACTAGTGTCTGCCACAGTGCTCCTCCTCAGAAAATAGGTTTTGTCCTCTCTCTGACTGTATTTGTGGCTGTGCAGACCGTATCTTTGGAAATCTATTTGAACTTGATGAAGAATTTTCCGGTGCTTTTGAGGTCTTGAACACAAGGAAAGTGCAGGGTACAATTCTGATGGTATTGAGCGTCGACTACAAATGTGTTTTATTAGAACTTCACTACAATCTCAGGCCAATTAACAGCTCATTATTAAGGGTGATGCTTGTAAAATATGACCTACCATCAGCATTTCTAGCACTTTACAAGTTGGCGAAAGAGATTTCCAGCGAATAACATTTCGGTCTGTTCACACAAAGCCACACAAGTCATATAAACAACTTTTATGGTACATTTTTGGAATGACAAAGATAATAAAATGCAGACTTTTTTTGCACAAACTATTCCTTTAATAAGCCATTTGGCCTTGAGCAGAGCAGGTTTTGGACTCTCTTTGAGCAGATAAAGCAGTGTGCTGGTACGTTTTTCATGAATGTTTAACAGCAGTAAAATGGACTTTGTAATGACAGAAGTACCTCTCGAGTGGTTTAGGCTGGGAGACAGTGGTTCCCCTTCTCAGGCATGCGAGATGTTAAAGATTTACATCCCCATACCGTGGCCATATACGTCTATGTAAACGATTGCAGAGTACACAAATGCACTGCATTCAATCTTCAAGAAGCGTGATTAATTTAGGTCTACTTTTCAAAGATTCATGTAATTCTCAAGCTGGCTTTTAAACAATAAAATGCAGATGTGTTCCACGGGCAGTAAAAGCCTGCCCTTGAGTTTTTATGTCTATTGTAAGAGTGTAAATTGCTACTAAATACTTCACATCACCAACACAAAAGCTCCTACGCCTGTTACCGTCTCCAGGGGTCACATTCACGGCATTGTCCCAACAAGAAACACCCCCGGTGCCGCCTGAGGCCCCCTGGATAATAGCAGGGATTACCCTCTGAGATAATTCCCTATCTCTAGTACCTTGTATGCATTAGCAGCCTTAAGTGAAGGAGTCTTTTCCTGTGGAATGTGTGTGTAATGTAATCACATCACATCAGAATTCGTTTTAAGTAAACGAACCGTCCCAGACAGTGTCCCCATTCACATATTGTATGCGTCACATGCATTGTCCTGAATTCTCCTCGGGGGTCAAAGAAGTGCTGGTCTCTGGTTACCTATTTACCCATAAAGACTCTGTTACAAATCCTAGTGAGCTACCAATCTACTTAGGCAGCATAATTTTCCTGCCCTCTAATGCTAAATTTACACTGCAAAGGTGGCACAGAAGTGCTTCCGAGCTGGCATTTATGTGTCTTTACACAGACTGCATAATGTTGCTCAGAGGTGGCATGAATGCATTTACACTGCAATTTCAACATATACTGTATTTTGATATTAGGGATGAGGTGGGTCAGAGCAGGCATACTTTAGTCTGGCTTTATGGAGAAATCTGAGCAGGCACAGAGCAGCTTTAACCTGTAAGCTGTAAAGATGCCTTAAGATCATTTGTTTTAGACAAATTTTAAAGCGTCCTTGATGAAGAAGACAATCGCATGTTGCAAGTTTCGTCTGATATTATATTTACAAGTTGAATGAATGCCACCACAAAGTCCTAATTATGAATGGGAAACCTTGTGAAGGTGAATTTTGTTTTGAGCCCAGAGTTTACGAGTTGGAAAACATGGCGAAACACGATGGATGTAGTGTCTGTATTTAAGGAAATTTGTTGAATTAATGAAATTATTACTAAAATTACTTTCTACCACTTGCAATAAAAGTTGCTTATACAAAATATAATAGTATTATACAATTGCAATGGACTATATAATGATTCAGGTTATGGCAGCTTCATACATTGAATAAAAACACAAAAAAGCAAACCTGATGTGCCTTCTTTATTCATCATATTTGTAGAAGCAGAGTTGCGTCGTAAATAAATACTAACTCATAAATACTAACTTCCCAGTAGTGCTTGAACGCCCCATCAGAATTGACTTGTGCCAAGCTGGAAAAAAATACAAATAAAAAAGGCAGACATGAGAAATACTAGTTATAAATATACTGATATTTCACTCAATATTGAAAAGTATTGATAAAAATTTGTTAAATCTAATTAAAATGGACTATTTTACACAATATTTGTGAGTGCTATGTATTTTATGCTTATTAGAGTAGTACATTGTTAGCTTAGCAACATGCTAATGCCAAACTCTATTGGAATCAATTGCACGTTGCATGAGGAGTGCTATTGGTGTGGTGTACAGAATTGCAGCCTATGTAGAGCGTTCAAAATCAGTCACTTAAAGGCAAAATATGTAATTTTCGCGGCTAGAGGGCGCGTATTCAAAATAAACAAAGAGGCAAAGGCGTAGTTTGATGACGCCGTGACTGAGTGTGGAATCATGGGAGTTGTGGTCTTCATCCCCACAGCCGAAGCAATCCGACGGGACTCGGGCAGAAATCATGTTCATGGATGAGCTAAGGATGTCATTGGCAGGCGACACAATGACACTATGGACACGGTCCGTGTCACTAGTTAAAATTGCTTATTTCTCTGGATTTAAACATTCTTCGAAACATTTGGGATAATGTAAGTACACAAGTCAGCAAAATATATAACACTGTTCTAGTGGTTTTTGGATATTTTAATAAAAAAATCTTAGATATTGTGCCTTTAAGCTAAAAATTTGAATAGGATGAAGGTATCTCTTTGTCACAGTAGACAGCTAGCTTGTTAACTAGGTTTTGGAATAGTGCTAAATAGATACTGTATGCTGAAAATCAAATATAAAAATAGAAACGCAGATTCTTTGACTGGTGAAAATGGTCTTGATGAAGGTTAACAGGGTCGTTACAACTCCTAGAATTTTTTGTGGATGAGTATGTTTGTTTAAGGGCCTCATGTTAGGTCATTCCTAACATGGTGTTTGCTAAGTGTCTCGTCTGTCATTGTGGAGCAGTTATTGCCTTTTTTTCACCAAACACTATGAGACGACGCTAGCAGTGCAGCACTAAAGTTGGCAAACAATCTTTTCCTTCATCCTTCCACTCCTACCAGCTCTGCCTGACTCCATCGCTCACTCTTTCAACTCCAGGCTAATAAGGTCACAGTAACTCAAGGTTTGCACCTGTTGACAGAAAATGCCACAGTCAGTGAGCTGTTGTCTTAAACATCTTGCTAATAGTTAATTTCGGTTTATTTCTTTTAGCCTTTCAAGTTGTATTTTTCTAATAATATCTTATAAATTAAAAAAAATACAATTCTACCCAATATTTATTTTATGCCTCTGTTAGCTTAGCAACATGCTAACATTAAACCAGTGTTATTTTAGTATTTATTTATATATTAGTTTTTATTATTATTTTGAATTAGCTTTTATTTTTTATCTTTTCAGTTCATTTTTAATTTGTTTACATTTCAGTAATTTATATATTTAATATATATTACTATTTAGGTTTAATTTATTATTTCAGTTGTAGTTTTAATGCGGTTTTATTTTTAATTTATTTTGAGTTATTTTTTTTTATCTAATATGTATATATTATTTAATTTCAACTTCATTTCAGTTAACAAAAATGTTTATAATAGTTTTAGTTAATGATAAGCCTGCGTTAAACTTCAGGTCTCTGTACTTAAACCTCAGTGTTCCTGTATATTACAGCATGTGATTGTGACCCAAGAGGCATCGCAGAGCAGCAGTGCAACAAGGCCACAGGTCACTGTGTTTGCGTGGAGGGCGTTTCCGGGCCCCGATGTGACACGTGCGCTCGAGGCTACACAGGCGAGTTCCCACATTGTGAGCGCTGCCACCAGTGCTTTGCCGAATGGGATGTAATTGTGGGCGACCTCACCAACCAGACCCATAGACTGGTCCAGAAGGTCAATACCATCAAAGCCACTGGCATTACAGGACCCTACCAGGCCACCATCAATAACGTAGAAAGCAACGCCAACTCAATCCACAACATCTTGGCTCAGAATCCAGCCACTCAGCCTTTAACAGAGATCCAGGGACTTCTCGAACAAGCAACGTAAGTTACGACCTTGCTCAGGATGTGGAAGCAAGTGTAGATCCTTCTCGTCAAGTCACGTAGAGAAATCATTTTTGATTCTTATCATGAGAATAATCTGTTTGAATCTTTTCCCTGAAGTGCCTTAATGGCTAAAATGAACACCAACCTTAACCTGACAGAGGAGACCTTGTCCGAGATCTCATCCGACAACAACAGCACGGACACCAAACTGAACTCCCTCAAAGAAGAAGCTCAGAAACTGGAACAGACAGTGAAAGACCTTCAGGAACAGGTGGAGTTTGTGAAGAATTCAGACATTCGAGGTGAGTAACATCACTTGAGCACTTTTCTTCAATAGACCCAGACAAAGCATCAATGCACCATGCTTTGATGCTTTGGAAGTCGTGGCCTAATGGTTAGAGAATCGGACTCGTAGGCGCCGCAGCATAAATGGCTGTCCACTGCTCCGGGTGTGTGTTCACGGTGTGGGTGTGTTCACTGCTGTGTGTGTGCACTTTGGATGGGATAAATGCAGAGCACTAACTCCTAGTATGGGTCACCATACTTGGCCACATTTCACTTCACTTCACTCACTTTTTGGTCCACAGGGGCCAGAGCCAGCATGACTCGATACTATGAGCAGTCCCAGATGGCAGAGATCCGTGCGAATGCCTCCACCATTGACCCATACAACCTGGTCAATCAATCTGCTACCCTGCGGACAGAAACGGAGGACTTGATGAACCAGACCAAAGAAGAGTTCATTCAAAGGCAGGATGAGTTTTCGAAGAAACTGGACAACCTCGCTGGACAGCTGGAGAATCTGGACCTTTCTGAGCTTAGCGAGAAGGTAAAGCAGTCAACAAATTGATGAACATGGATAGTTTTAATCAGCAAATGTTTCGTTTTCAGAAGCAAATCAGGTGCAGTCATGTCACTTTCATGTTGTCTTTATGGTAAATCAATGGAGATCCTCAAGCTTTTGTTTCTTGTCACAATATTTTAACCTTTCAATTACATGTCACAAATTGTGAGGCTTGTTGAAGACAGGTGTACTGTTACATTTAAATGTGATTGGACTTCTAGAGACCAGAGTATCATAAAGTCTTAGGGGTGATCAAACACCCAGAACACACTAGCAACTGCAGAGCAATGACCTTGCAGCTACTTAGAACCATAGATGTATATACATAGATGCCTCTGTGGTGGCTGTTTCTATGTTCCCGCTAGATACGTAAACCATATTGGAATGGTCTGTCATATTGGAGTCAGTCCGTGAACACTCAAGAGCAAGTTGACAGTGCGTCTGTACTTATATGCATATAAGAATATCTATATTTTTAATAGGGTTACAAAGAGGTGGAAATGTTCCACTAAATTTTCCAAAAATTCTGGAATGTTTCCAAAATCTGACCTTTTCTGCACCTTTGCAACCCTAATCTGTAATAGACTTCAGCAGATGATTTTGCTAAACTAACAAAATACATCAAGACTAAGGCATTAGATAACACAACATCAAAAGTTACCATAGTTTAAAAACCTGTAATATTGAGTTAGTACATATTAAAAACACAAACCATCTTAAAACTCATGGCATCTTGAAACTCATTTATTTTAATTGTGATCAAAAGTTTGGACACTTTCCCATTCGTGTGTCCAAACTTTTGTCTGGTACTATATATAGAATACAGTAAATACATAAACAGAATATATATACATAAACACATTTTTTGCAATGATCACTCAAATGTGGTGACCAAACACTTATAATGACGTGACAAAGATATGTAATGGAGGCAGGGCATGTAATTATTTATGCTGTAATTATGACAAAGCTGCATGTTTTCAAACCTTTTCATTAACAGAAACTATTGAGTATTGACATACTAATTAACCATAATATAAAAAAAAAACAGTAGTTATAGAAGGCGGAATAAGAAATATGATTTCAGTTTACATTGTGACTATATTATTTATTTATTTGTAGCATTTTAACTTAGATTTGAGAGTGTTATAATATATCAATAATAACAACACAGCCCTGCATCTTTAAAAAAAAAAAAAACAAAAAAATAAAAAACAGTATTAGGCGTGAAATTGTCTTCAGTATCATTCACACATGTGAAAAGTGTCTGAGAATTGAACAAAGATAGGAGGAAGATAGGAATCGTGTCTTTGTGGCAGTTTTTCTGGTGTTTAAAGGATAATTAAGTCATCCTGGTTGAGAACCACTGCACTAAAGTATACCATATCTGTGGAATGTGTTAGTATTTCCACTAGTGGCCAGTTCATTAAACAACATGTTTGTATGTTCTCGATTTTTCACAGGAAGGAGGCGACCGATATGAAAGACACAGCTGAGATGGTGAAGCAGGCCTTGCAGCAGGCTGAGCATGCCCAGAGTTCAGTAACCGAGGCACTGAAACAGGCCACTGCTGACATCAAGGGAACGCAAGACTTACTGGTCTCGGTAAGTCTACATCACCACCAGTCATTTGTTCCAAGGGGACGATTTTAGGCTTGTTTTGGTCATTATCAATATGGTGCAATTTGGAATTTATATTTGAAGCCACTTTGTCACTCTTTTGTACAAAAGGTGGAGTCAGAGACGTCCGACTCCGAGCTAAAACTGAGTAACGCCACCCGAAAGCTCCTGAAGTTGGAAAGCGATGTAGCTCTGCTAAAAGAAAAGGCTCTCAACACCTCCACCAGTGCCAACAGCACAGAGAAAGAGGCTGATAGCATCAATGCACTGGCTGACCAGCTCAAAAAGGTGCCTGAATTACACGTTACGTCGTCTGTGGTATTAAGTTTTGCATTTGTAACCTCCTGTGCTGTGGTTGACCGTTTATGCAGGATTTGGATTCAGAGTTGAAAGACAAGTACAGTAGTGTTGAGGAGCTGATCACACAGAAGGCTGAAGGAGTGGCAGAGGCCAAGAAAAGAGCAGAGAAGCTCCAACAGGAAGCCAAAAATCTGCTGCTACAGGCCAGCGACAAACTTCAGCTTCTGAAAAGTACGTCAATACTGCATTTCTAGTTCCTGTGAAGCAAATATTACTGCATCAGCATTAAAAGTGATTTCTGGGTTAATACATTTTAAACATTGGGGGTTTAGAAAAGAACTATCACACAACTGGTTCCAATTTAATATTTAGTGCTCTAACTTACGATGAATTTAGCTGAATTTCGGTCTTTTTCAGATCTTGAGAAGAGCTATGATGAAAATCAGAAGCTGCTGGAGGACAAGGCCAATGAGCTGGTGGATCTGGAGAAGGCTGTGAAAGAACTGCTTCAGGAGATCAGTCACAAAGTCACCGTCTACAGCACCTGTCTGTTTTAACACTACTACAGACTGCATTAGGAAAATATATTAAATTACCTTCTATGTCGAATCCCTGAGAAGGTTTTATGAGCTTTACATCTGTTACAGCTACAGTTTTACTCATACGTTTATATTTGATCACTGTATGGCTGGGTTAATACATTTTAAACATTGGGGGTTTAGAAAAGAACTATCACACAACTGGTTCCAATTTAATATTTAGTGCTCTAACTTAGGATGAATTTAGCTGAATTTCGGTCTTTTTCAGATCTTGAGAAGAGCTATGATGAAAATCAGAAGCTGCTGGAGGACAAGGCCAATGAGCTGGTGGATCTGGAGAAGGCTGTGAAAGAACTGCTTCAGGAGATCAGTCACAAAGTCACCGTCTACAGCACCTGTCTGTTTTAACACTACTACAGACTGCATTAGGAAAATATATTAAATTACCTTCTATGTCGAATCCCTGAGAAGGTTTTGTGAGTTTTACATCTGTTACAGCTACAGTTTTACCCATACGTTTATATTTGATCACTGTATGGAAGGGTGTTACACACTTTTATGACCACAAGAGAATGTAATTTGGATTTGAAAACATAGCAGACCAAAGAGTGAATGTAAGATATGCCCAACATTACTAGGAGAATGCAATTACAGTCGGCTCATTGTTTCAATTTAAGATTAAAGTTAAAATAACGTCAAATAATATAAATGTGATTTTTTTACTTTTCATTTACTGATATCTGGACCAACTTGTAAATTCCATGAAAATTCAATCAGAATAAACTCAAGTGAGTAATACAGTGTGAAACAGTGTTATTGTTACAGTGTGAATTTGTCTCATGTTAATAAGTGTTTTCTGTGGCTTTGACATTGTTGCTCAGTGTGATCATTAAAATAACCAGATCATGAGAGTCATTTGCTCGTGAATCAGACACTGCTCGTGCTGAATATGTTATTACGGTATAGTGAGTTTAAGTTATTGTGATTAACTAACTTCATTAAGTGAAGGATTCTTCAGACTGTTTTAAACTGGTAACTCCTGTTTTTTGTTTTGTTTTTTTAATAGTGATTTATTGAAATAACCAAATCATAAGAGCCATTTGCATGTGATTCGAGCTGCACTGATCTGTATGTTTTTGAAGTAGAGTCATAAGAGTCATTTGCTTTTGAATCGGACACTGGTCGCACTGCATGTTATTTCGTTATACTAAGGTTAAGTTATTGTGATTAACTAGTTGATTAAGGATTCATCAGACTGTTCTTAACTCCTAAGTTTGAGTTTTTTTTTTCTTTTGAGCGATTTAATAACCGGATCTACTTATTTGCTAGAGAAGGGAACATACTGACTACCGCAAGACAATATAAAGACGCATTTTTTTTTTTGCTATTACTTTATAGTACATTCAAACTAGAGTTACATTCTACATAGTTACATTCAAATTAGACTGCGTTCACAACACATGTTAAATATGATTTCTTTTGACGTGTTACTGTAGATTGCAATAAGTATTACTGGTTATGAACGGGACCTCAAGAGGGCGTTGGCCTTAAAGTCACCATGAAATCAAAATTGAAAATTCTTATTTTTTAATGGAATACTGTAGTGTTTATTATAAATAATTTATCCGTGCACTTCATTATTTTTTTTAAATTCATGTGCCCTCGTAATCTTTCAGCAAAAACGTTAACCTCCCCTCCCCCTCAAAACGACGACTCTACTCTTCCGGTCACGAGCTATGGCGCAAGGCGCATATTCAAAATTTCATGAATATGACTTAACCTGATGGAGGACGCGCTCAGTCATTCAGGCAGTCTCTCTCTCGCTCTCTCGTGTTTAGGCATGTTTTGTGCCGTTGATCGTTGTCGTCGTCACCCTTAATAAATAAAACATTTATTCATGCTTGGGTGTCGGCTGTGAATCCAGTGAAGAGAAATCCCCCACCACTAACTGCAAAGAAAATTCTTATTTTTTAATGGAATACTGTAGTGTTTATTATAAATAATTTATCCGTGCACTTCATTATTTTTTTTAAATTCATGTGCCCTTGTAATCTTTCAGCAAAAACGTTAACCTCCCCTCCCCCTCAAAACGACGACTCTACTCTTCCGGTCACGAGCTAAGGCGCAAGGCGCATATTCAAAATTTCATGAATATGACTTAACCTGATGGAGGACGCGCTCAGTCATTCAGGCAGTCTCTCTCTCACTCTCTCGTGTTTAGGCATGTTTTGTGCCGTTGATCGTTGTCGTCGTCACCCTTAATAAATAAAACATTTATTCATGCTTGGGTGTCGGCTGTGAATCCAGTGGAGAGAAATCCCCCACCACTAACTGCAAAGTGCAAACTGGCATCTTAGATCTGCCTCCATTTTGTTGGCAACGCCCCAACTTCCAACGATCCAATCAATTCCCAAAGGATGAAATCAAGTCCCGCCCTCTCATTTCAGATGCCGTTTCACTCAGATATACGTCACAGCAGAGAAGAAAAGACAATCGCAACTTCCGTTTCATGCCGACTTTAACAGAGGCACCTCAAAGACACCAATAGTGACAGGAACCTCAAGGCAGTATTACAGTGCCTTAAACCCCCAGTGAGCAAGCCAACGGCGACAGTGGCAAGGAAAAACTCCCTACAAAATTAAATGTAGGCAGAAACCTTGGGAGGAACCAAGACTCATCAGGGGGGACCCATCCTCCTCTGGCGGGCAAATATAAAAATACTGCCTAATTGATTTATAATATTTATGGCTAGATGATAATTAACAAAATAACCGCCCAATTTTAAAATGGCTATTGAGAACAACTCTTACCTGTATTTTACAGGACTTACCGGTTTTCAACAACTCTTACCTGTACTCTACAAACCTTACCTGTATTTCACAGGACTTACCTGTACTATACAACTCTTACCTGTATTTCACAGGATTTACCTGTACTCTACAATTCTGACCTGTACTCTAAAACTTGTACCTTTAGTCTACAACTCTTACCTTTCTTCTACAACTGCTTTAGTCTCCAACCTTTACCTGCACTCCACAACCCTTACCCGCACTCTACAACCCCCCTTAGCAACTGCCCTGAATGCACCTGTATGTTGGCAATGGCATTGAGATGGTCCTGCGGTCGTGCGTGGCACTGAAGGGGCCTGGGCTGTGCCAGCTGAACTGAGGGCTGCTTGGGCTTTACCTGCACACTGAGGGGTGCCTGTACTGCAGCCGCGGCACTGAGGGATGTCTGGGCTGTAGCGCTGAGGGGGACAGTGTTTGTGGCTCTTATACTGTGTTTTCTAGCAGTGGCTCAAGGGGTGACTGTGATTTCACCAAGTACAACATGTTCCTGGATCAACATCCTTGTTGATCCTGGAACAACATTCCTATCAACCAATCAGAATTGAGGGATAACTTTTCAGGAAATATCTGTTTTAGGCTTACAATCAGGGTTAGGTGCTTCTACACCCTTGTTAATCAGCTATCATTTCACACTGTTTTTAGGAATAAATTATGGGTAGGGTTAGGTTTAGGGGTAGGGATTGGGTTAAGTCTATATTTTTGGACAGTTATGTTGATCCAGGATCAACAAAAGATGTTGATCCAGGAACATGTCTCACTTGGCAAAATCATGGCAACCGGCTCAAGGACAGGTAACTGGACTCAGGAACACTTTGCCAGCACTATATTGTCAGCAGCCATAAAACTACAACCACATCAACTTACTACGCTGATTTTACATAGTTGAGGCAAAGTTTGACTATTACGCCTGGTTTTGTTGGGCTTAAAAGGATAATAACAGTAAAATGTAGAAATCATGGGCCTCATTTATAAAATGTGCATAAGCACAGATTTGATCTTAGAGTGTGCGTACGCTAAAGTCCACGGCAACGTTCATATTTATAAAAACGGTCTTTGACGAGAAAAAGTACTTACCGTCACGTCAGGGTCTGAGCAGGCGTACGCACTTTTCCTTGTGGCAAAGTCGGAGTACTGCAGCTATTTGAACATAAGCTGCAATAATAATAAAAGCGGTGTA